CACCCAATCAACACCCCTCCCCCCCAAAGAACCCTCAACTTTGATCGATGCGACTGCCAAAGGTATTAATGAATGGCTAAAGTAAATGTTTCTTTGACAAAAGTGACAACCAAAAATATTCCAAATTCTACATCCGAGAAACTTAAAAAAACAAAATAGAATGAGATCTGTAAAGTCTTCCGTTGAGAGATCGATTACTTGGCTGGAACAAATCCATACAACCAAATCCCTTTGTCTTAAAGTCGTGTGGAGTCTGTCGGAGACGAAGGCAATCAGGGTATGTAACAACAAGAATATTGTTCTCAATGCTGCCGGGAACGCATCTTTTGTTAATGATTCCTTTGTCTAGAACATCAGCAGTTTTGTCTTGCTATTTTGATGCGTCTACAAGCATGCTCAGTAGCCGTAAAGCCACTGGATCTGTCAGATTTTACACTCATTCATACCCCCCCCGCCCTCACACACACACACAAACACACACACACACGCACACACAAACACACCCGCGCGCGCGCGCATACACATACGCACAACCATCTTGTTTCACACAAAACTTAAGATTATTTGGGTGAGTGCTAATATCTCATATTGGTAACGGGGAAACGTTGCTTTTTTATATTCGTTACTCATTATTACTGCAATTTTCCTCTTGGCACGTCTGGCATAACAATGGCATTTATGCAGATTTTGAACAATTCTGAAATACATGTACTACAAATGGTATATTGCTCGGCAAAAATATACTAAATTCCATTTTGAAACCAAACAAACATCTCGAAATACGATTTCCGGAAACGTAGGTTTTAACTAGATCTATATCCAGTTCCAAATCAACATGAACCAATACAAATTTTGCTCCCTATTTTTTCGTTCACCTGCATGTTTCCTTTTCAACAAAGACCGATCACCGAATACAATCTAGATAGATAGGATAATAATTAATTGTATCCACAACGTTTTATTTTCTCAAGTCTCAACTCATGTCTCTCGGTAGCTGATTAGACTGTTATTGTTCATTTTATTACGTATTTGTTATATATTTCTTTTACCTGTTTGTTCCATTTAAGGGCGTACATCTTATCAGAGAAACCAGACAGATTCTCCATTTATCAGTGCCTAATTTAATGTAATCTTTGATATCCGATAGCACATTTAAGTACAGAACATAGATAAATTCCTTGCATCCACTGCCGTCACAAACGTCTTATGGCTCTACTGGCGTCATGAGCCACCCACATCATTATAGCAAGACCTACAAAGGAAGCCAATACAGCACAGACACTATCGACTGTTGTGACTACTTTGCTCCTATTTCCTCTCCCACATTACCTTGAGAATGAAATGTTGCACAATAACAGAATAGGTTTCCTGTGTCGACTCACCTCTCGTTGTCGTAGATCAACCTTAGGACACCATACACTGATGTGTAGCCCAGAGGAGCGCCTGTGGAAGAAGTGTGTTGTCCTTTTAGTCATTTCTGCTGGTTTTTTTTTACAATACCACAACACTCATGCATAATAGTCATTCGCAAAAAACACACACGCACACACACTCACGCGCGCGCGCAAACACACACTCGCAAAACAAAGACTGAGAGAGAGAGAGAGAGAGAGC